CCAGAGCAGAGGAGATGCTTGAGCTCCTTCTATAGGAGTAAAGTGAAGATGTATAGGAGGAGGATGTTTGGATAATGACAGTTTCCATGGCGACAGAAGAGGCAGACATGTTGTTCCTCCACAGATCCTCCTGGTGCTGCCGACGTCTGGGAGAGAATATAGAGAGAGTGAACCTATGACTCTGAAGTTAGATTGTTCTGGTTATGTTTATATGTAAGTCACTGCAGTACTGAATAAGACACATGTTCATAACAACAGAAAAGTATCCACAAATATTTGTGTATGCCTGTGTGTATATTTGTATATTGTGTGTGTGTGAGTGTATGTATGTGTAGCTGTATAAATACTTACTACACCGGGCAGCACGGTGGCTGAGTGTATAGCACCCTCGCTTCTCAGCAAGAAGGTCCTGGGTTCGAATCCCGGACAGAACGGGGCCTTCATTCAAATCATAATTTTCCGCAGCTGCTCAAAAGTAAAGTCTGAAACGAGAGGAAGAGAACATGCAAATATTTACTCTGTGGGATTGAAAAGTAATTTAGGAGCAGCTCACGGGACTCTCCACAGATTATCTCTGAGATGTGGACTCAAACTGATTTAGTTCAGATCAGAGGACGCCAGGGAGTTTCCACGGCCGTGTTCCAGCCTCTTACCTCTGTTTACACGACAGCTCCTCAGAGATTACACAAAGTGGATCAGCTGCGGAGTTTAGTCTGTGTTTGTTTAATGTGTGTTTGAGACAGAGACAGAGAGACACAGACACAGAGACAGAGACAGAGAGACAGAGAGACACAGAGACACAGAGACACAGAGACACAGACACAGAGACAGAGACAGAGGCAGAGAGACAGAGAGACAGAGAGACACAGACACAGAGACAGAGACAGAGGCAGAGAGACAGAGAGACAGAGAGACACAGACACAGAGACAGAGAGACACAGACACAGAGACACAGAGACACAGAGACAGAGACAGAGACAGAGGCAGAGGCAGAGAGACAGAGAGACACAGACACAGAGACAGAGACACAGACACAGAGAGACAGAGAGACAGAGAGACAGAGAGACACAGACACAGAGACAGAGACACAGACACAGAGAGACAGAGAGACAGAGAGACAGAGAGACACAGAGACTTCTCCCCCTCTCCCCCCTCTCCTTCCCCTCCGCCCCTCCTCTCCCCTCTCTCCCCCTCTCCCTCCCCTCCCTCCCCCTCTCTCCCTCCCCTCTCTCCCCCCCTCCTCTCCCCTCTCTCTCCCCCTCTCCCTCCCCTCCCTCCCCCTCTCTCCCTCCCCTCTCTCCCCCCCCTCCTCTCCCCTCTCTCCCCCTCTCCCTCCCCTCCCTCCCCCTCTCTCCCTCCCCTCTCTCCCCCCCTCCTCTCCCTCTCTCCCCCTCTCCCCCCCCCCTCCCTCCCCCCCCCCCCCCCCTCCCCCTCTCATTCCACAGGTGTAAAAGGCCAGACGTCCTTTTGTGGAGAGTCCTTTCATGCGCCGCCTTCAGAGGCGTCTGTCATTCGTCCAATTATCTTCTGAGAAATAGGTTTTGTTGCAGCGAGAGATTGATTCAAGACAAAATCAGAAAAAAGAATCTCGCAGGTTGTGTCCGTGGCTTCGTACTCCACTCCCAATCTCGACTTTACAAACCGTGACATTACAAACCGTGACATTACAAACCGTGACTTTACAAACCGTGACTTTACAAACCGTGACTTTACAAACCGTGACTTTGTGGACGGAGAACAGACTGAGGACCATTTAGAAGCAGCGAGAGGCTTAGTTAGTCATGCACCGTTATTTTTCTCATTTCTTTTTTTTGTGTGTGTGTGATTTCCAGACTTATCCTGTTTAGATAAAAGTTTGTGATGCAATAGTTTAAGAATTAAGTAAATAACACTTTAAATGTATGTTTTAAACCTAGAATCAAGTCGTTTGGGGCTAGTTTTAGTATTTTACTTATTTTCATATATCTTAAAGGCATTTCCAGTGTTTCTCCTTCTGCTCCTAGACCTGGAGTAGAACCATCACCTCCGAGCAGAGGACAAGAGCAGCTGCAATTTATTTAATACCAACTCTTTGTTTCACCGAGTCCTGGTCAGAGACGGAGGGCGCCAGGTTTGTGCTCCTGGGTTTCGGGCGCCAGGTTTGTGCTCCTGGTTGTACAATTCATTACAGTTGCTCAGTTGGTAGAGCATTGGCCTTTGAACCAGAAGGTCCTCGGTTCAAGCCCACCTCCAGACTTTCACCATCGACTCCCACTGTCTGCTGTCGTTGTGTCCTTGGGCAAGACACTTAACCTCTGGGAACACCTGATGCCACAGTGGGGGCGGCTGTGGCTGTAAAGTGCCAAACTGCCGTTGTGTCACTTTACCCCCATTGCCTAGAATGAGTCTGGTGTGTGTGAATGGTTGGTGGTGGTGGGAGGGGCCGATGGCACAGACTGGTTGCCTCGATTCTGTCAGTGTGCCCCAGGGCAGCTGTGGCTACAGTAGTTTATCACCACTGTGTGTGGAGTGAATGAATAATGACATAGAAAGTGTCTTTGAGTGTCAAAAAAAGCGCTGTATAAAACCGATGCATTATTATTATTATTAATTAGGATCTAAATTTAAATGACACAGGTACAGTCAAGCTAGAAAAATCATCGAAATTCAGCTTGAACATTTTTTATTTATAATGTTTATTGACACAGACATGATCCTTGTGTTTTCCTCTGGTCAGACACCTGAGGGAAACACACGGATCATGTCTGTGTCTGACTGTATTTTAGATCTGGACCCGGGACTGGTCCAGACTCGGATCCAACCAAACTTCAGTGTTTATCTTTTTGTCCTGGTTTAAGTTTATTCTGTGTTTTATTTTGTAACTTCCTCAGTTCTACTTCCTGTTGTGTGATGACTTCCTGTTCTACTTTCGCTTGTGTGATGACTTCCTGTTCTACTTCCTGTTGTGTGATGACTTCCTGGTCTACTTCCTGTTGTGTGATGACTTCCTGTTCTACTGCTTGTGAGATGACTGTCACTCCCGTATTCGTCCCGGAAACCGGATTCGTCCGGAAGTTCAGTTTGATCCAATGAGCATACGCAGCAGTAGATTACGTCACGGAATCTGGACGGAAGCGGAAGTAAATATAAAAAACTACCTATTCATGCCTAAACTTAACCAGCCATTCCCATAAAATAACCCCAACCCAGCCTTAACCCCAAACTTAACCATCTTAATCAGATGCCTAAACTTAACCAGTCTCCACTTAAGGACATATTAAACTTTTTGACATGCGCAAACTGAACTTCCGGACGAATCCGGTTTCCGAGACGAATACGGGAGTGACAATGACTACCTGGTCTACTTCCTGTTGTGTGATGACTTCCTGGTCTACTTCCTGTTGTATGATGACTTCCTGGTCTACTTCCTGTTGTGTGATACTTCCTGGTCTACTTCCTGTTGTGTGATGACTTCCTGGTCTACTTCCTGTTGTGTGATGACTTCCTGGTCTACTTCCTGTTGTGTGATGACTTCCTGGTCTACTTCCTGTTGTGTGATGACTTCCTGGTCTATTTCCTGTTGTGTGATGACTTCCTGGTCTACTTCCTGTTGTGTGATGACTTCCTGGTCTATTTCCTGTTGTGTGATGACTTCCTGGTCTACTTCCTGTTGTGTGTAGACTCCCTGTTTTACTTCCTGTTTTGTGATGACTTCTTGTGTCTCTCACCTCTTGTCTTTGTCCCGGTTTGAGACATAAAAACCTGAATGACAGAATTTTAAAACCGTTTATTCCCAAACAGTGACATGGTTTTGGGTTTCATTCAACTTTGAAGATTTAGATTTTGAATTGATTTAAATAAAGTCAAGTCAGAGTTTTACAGAGACTGAAGAAGAGACCGACTAAGACCTGTTTATCTTAAAAATACTTTTCATTTATCTCTTTTTTGTCTTTTTTGCATTTCTCTTGTTTATTTATTATCTGTGTTTCTCCCAAAGACTGTAAATAGTAAGAAGGAAAACTGTGTCATTTTGGAGCAATCTAAATAAAAGTGTCATCACCTTTTATTCAGACGTAGCTGCACACTTCGGTCTCTCTGAACCCCAGGTGCATTGTGGGAACTGGAAAATTTTTTAGAGGGAGACACAAAAGTTTAGCCTTGTTTCTGGGACCGTCCATCAGTCCATCAGTCCATCAGTCCATCAGCTCGTCAGGTCTGTCAGGTCTGTCAGGTCTCTCAGGTCTCTCAGGTCTCTCAGGTCTGTCAGGTCTGTCAGGTCTGTCAGGTCTGTCAGGTCTGTCAGGTCTCTCAGGTCTCTCAGGTCTGTCAGGTCTCTCAGGTCTGTCAGGTCTGTCAGGTCTGTCAGGTCTGTCAGGTCTCTCCGTGGCCAGAGACTTCAAGATGGCCGTCGTCTCCTTCAAGAACATCCCCTTCTGCTCTGTGTCCCTGTCACACAAAGACAGACACACACACACACACACACACTCACGCACACAGAGACACACACACACACACACACACACATACACACACAGAGACACACACACACAGACACACACACACACGCACACAGAGACACACACACAGAGACACACACGCACACAGAGACACACACACACGCGCACACAGAGACACACACACACACACACACACAGACACACACACACACACGCACACAGAGACACACACACAGAGACACACACACACACACACACACACACACACACTCATCCTTCTCCTGCTTGTTCTGAAAGTGATGAATTCGTCGTTTAAATCCATAATTAATAATTTATCACACGCCTCTGGTTCTGTTTTTATATAAGTTACATTGTGGGGACGTGAAGGGCATTGGAAACTTTTTCATCACGTTGAGTCCCCATAGGATCCACATGTGGGCAGAGGGATACACAGACAGACACACACACATACACATACACACACACACACACACACACACACAAAGAGAGAAACTATTTAAGGTTCTGTCGTTTAGATTCAACACGTGTCCAGATCTGTCAGATATGAAGGGAACAATGAAACTCTCACCTCCTTTCAGGGAGGAGGAGGAGGAGGAGGAGGAGGAGGAGGAGGAGGAGGAGGAGGAGGAGGAGGAGGAGGAGGAGGAGGTCCCAGGAGAACCCCCTCCCCACAAACTCAAAATATGGAAAGATAAAGACACTGTCCACAGGTACATCTGTGAACCAAGAAGCACAGGGACTGGCCTCCTGCTGGGACTCGAAGGAGCACAGGGACTGGCCTCCTACTGGGACTCTGAGGAGCACAGGGACTGGCCTCCTGCTGGGACTCTGAGGAGCACAGGGACTGGCCTCCTGCTGGGACTCTGAGGAGCACTGAGGTGCTTCCAAAACTTGTAAACTGCTGCTTGTACTGTACCTGTGCTCCCTGGTCTCTGGCCTGGGCCCAGATTACATCATAAATAGCTGCAGTGATTGGACGATCTGCAAAAACCAATCACGAGGTTTGAATTGCTCTGGAAACGACGAAGGTCAGACTGAAGACCCAGGACTGAGGCTGTAAACCCAGGACTGAGGCTGTAGATCCAGGACTGAGGCTGTAGACCCAGGACTGAGGCTGTAGACCCAGGACTGAGGCTGTAGACCCAGGACTGAGGCTGTAGACCCAGGACTGAGGCTGTAGACCCAGGACTGAGGCTGTAGACCCAGGACTGAGGCTGTAGACCCAGAACTGAGGCTGTAGACCCAGGACTGAGGCTGTAGACCCAGGACTGAGGCTGTAGACCCAGGACTGAGGCTGTAGACCCAGGACTGAGGCTGTAGACCCAGGACTGAGGCTGTAGACCCAGGACTGAGGCTGTAGACCCAGGACTGAGGCTGTGGACCCAGGACTGAGGCTGTAGACCCAGGACCCATGTAAAATAGTCCCCCACAAGTTTCTTTAACACGCTCTAATTGTTTTTCAAGTTTTTGTGAAAAAGTAAAGTTTTGATCCCAGAATTCATCAATCGACTGCAGCTGTTCAGGCTCAGGACCGTTCCACTGAAGTTAGAAAGTTTAATTCTGTTGTTAACGCTCTCTCTGGTCTCTCTCTAGTCTCTCTCTGGTCTCTCTCTGGTCTCTCTCTGGTCTCTCTCTGGCCTCTCTCTGGTCTCTCTCTGGTCTCTCTCTGGTCTCTCTCTCTAGTCTCTCTCTGGTCTCTCTCTCTTTAGTCTCTCTCTGGTCTCTCTCTCTGGCCTCTCTCTGGTCTCTCTCTGGTCTCTCTCTGGTCTCTCTCTCTCTAGTCTCTCTCTGGTCTCTCTCTCTGGCCTCTCTCTGGTCTCTCTCTGGTCTCTCTCTGGTCTCTCTCTCTCTAGTCTCTCTCTGGTCTCTCTCTCTGGCCTCTCTCTGGTCTCTCTCTAGTCTCTCTCTGGTCTCTCTCTGGTCTCTCTCTAGTCTCTAGTCTCTCTCTGGTCTCTCTCTGGCCTCTCTCTGGTCTCTCTCTGGTCTCTCTCTGGTCTCTCTCTCTAGTCTCTCTCTGGTCTCTCTCTCTTTAGTCTCTCTCTGGTCTCTCTCTCTAGTCTCTCTCTGGTCTCTCTCTCTCTAGTCTCTCTCTGGTCTCTCTCTCTGGCCTCTCTCTGGTCTCTCTCTGGTCTCTCTCTGGTCTCTCTCTCTAGTCTCTCTCTGGTCTCTCTCTCTCTAGTCTCTCTCTGGTCTCTCTCTCTGGTCTCTCTCTGGCCTCTCTCTGGTCTCTCTCTGGTCTCTCTCTCTTTAGTCTCTCTCTGGTCTCTCTCTCGAGTCTCTCTCTGGTCTCTCTCTCTCTAGTCTCTCTCTGGTCTCTCTCTCTGGCCTCTCTCTGGTCTCTCTCTGGTCTCTCTCTGGTCTCTCTCTCTAGTCTCTCTCTGGTCTCTCTCTCTTTAGTCTCTCTCTGGTCTCTCTCTCTAGTCTCTCTCTGGTCTCTCTCTCTCTAGTCTCTCTCTGGTCTCTCTCTCTGGCCTCTCTCTGGTCTCTCTCTGGTCTCTCTCTCTGGTCTCTCTCTGGTCTCTCTCTCTAGTCTCTCTCTGGTCTCTCTCTCTGGTCTCTCTCTGGTCTCTCTCTCTGGTTTCTCTCTCTGGTCTCTCTCTCTCTCTCTCTCTCTTTGACGTGTCTAATTGAGTTAAAGCTTCTGGAGTGAAAGAGGGCGAGGCTAAAAATATCATTGTCTCTTTTACAAAATGAGTCACATTTACGAGAATGGAAGAGAGAGACCAGAGAGAGAGACCAAAGAGAGACCAGAGAGAGAGACCAGAGAGAGACCAGAGAGAGAGACCAGAGAGAGAGACCAAAGAGAGACCAGAGAGAGAGACCAGAGAGAGAGACCAAAGAGAGACCAGATAGAGACCAGAGAGAGAGACCAGAGAGAGACCAGAGAGAGAGAGACCAAAGAGAGACCAGAGAGAGAGACCAAAGAGAGACCAGAGAGAGAGAGACCAAAGAGAGACCAGATAGAGAACAGAGAGAGAGACCAAAGAGAGACCAGAGAGAGAGACCAGGGAGAGAGACCAAAGAGAGACCAGAGAGAGAGACCAAAGAGAGACCAGAGAGAGAGAGACCAAAGAGAGACCAGAGAGAGAGACCAAAGAGAGACCAGAGAGAGAGACCAAAGAGAGAGACCAAAGAGAGACCAGAGAGAGAGACCAAAGAGAGACCAGAGAGAGACCAGAGAGAGAGACCAGAGAGAGACCAGAAAGAAACCAGAGAGAGAGACCAGAGAGAGACTAGAGAGAGAGACCAGAGAGAGAGACCAGAGAGAGAGACCAGGGAGAGAGACCAAAGAGAGACCAGAGAGAGACCAGAGAGAGAGACCAGAGAGAGAGACCAGAGAGAGACCAGAGAGGGACCAGAGGGACCAGAGAGAGAGACCAGAAAGAAACCAGAGAGAGAGACCAGAGAGAGACTAGAGAGAGAGACCAGAGAGAGAGACCAGAGAGAGACCAGGGAGAGAGACCAAAGAGAGACCAGAGAGAGACCAGAGAGAGAGACCAAAGAGAGACCAGAGAGAGAGACCAGAGAGAGAGACCAAAGAGAGACCAGATAGAGACCAGAGAGAGAGACCAGAGAGAGACCAGAGAGAGAGACCAGAGAGAGAGAGAGAGAAGAGAGACCAGAGAGAGAGAGACCAAAGAGAGACCAGATAGAGAACAGAGAGAGAGACCAAAGAGAGACCAGAGAGAGAGACCAGGGAGAGAGACCAAAGAGAGACCAGAGAGAGAGACCAAAGAGAGACCAAAGAGAGAGAGACCAAAGAGAGACCAGAGAGAGAGACAAAAGAGAGACCAGAGAGAGAGACCAAAGAGAGACCAGAGAGAGACCAGAGAGAGAGACCAGAGAGAGACCAGAAAGAATCCAGAGAGAGAGACCAGAGAGAGACTAGAGAGAGAGACCAGAGAGAGAGACCAGAGAGAGAGACCAGGGAGAGAGACCAAAGAGAGACCAGAGAGAGACCAGAGAGAGAGACCAGAGAGAGAGACCAGAGAGAGACCAGAGAGGGACCAGAGGGACCAGAGAGAGAGACCAGAAAGAAACCAGAGAGAGAGACCAGAGAGAGACTAGAGAGAGAGACCAGAGAGAGAGACCAGAGAGAGACCAGGGAGAGAGACCAAAGAGAGACCAGAGAGAGACCAGAGAGAGACCAGAGAGAGAGACTAGAGAGAGAGACCAGAGAGAGAGACCAGGGAGAGACCAGAGAGAGACCAGAGAGAGAACAGAAAGAAACCAGAGAGAGACCAGAGAGAGACCAGAGAGAGAGACCAGAGAGGGAGGCCAAAGAGAGACCAGAGAGAGAGAGACCAAAGAGAGACCAGAGAGAGACCAGAGAGAAAGACCAGAGAGAGAGGTCAGAGAGAGAGACCAGAGAGAGACCAGAGAGAGACCAGAGAGAGAACAGAAAGAAACCAGAGAGAGACCAGAGAGAGACCAGAGAGGGAGGCTGTCTTTTTAAGTCCCTAGTCTCTCTCTGGTCTCTCTCTGGTCTCTCTCTCTAGTCTCTCTCTGGTCTCTCTCTCTTTAGTCTCTCTCTGGTCTCTCTCTCTAGTCTCTCTCTGGTCTCTCTCTCTCTAGTCTCTCTCTGGTCTCTCTCTCTGGCCTCTCTCTAGTCTCTCTCTGGTCTCTCTCTCTGGTCTCTCTCTGGCCTCTCTCTGGTCTCTCTCTGGTCTCTCTCTGGTCTCTCTCTCTAGTCTCTCTCTGGTCTCTCTCTCTTTAGTCTCTCTCTGGTCTCTCTCTCTAGTCTCTCTCTGGTCTCTCTCTCTCTAGTCTCTCTCTGGTCTCTCTCTCTGGCCTCTCTCTGGTCTCTCTCTGGTCTCTCTCTGGTCTCTCTCTCTAGTCTCTCTCTGGTCTCTCTCTCTTTAGTCTCTCTCTGGTCTCTCTCTCTAGTCTCTCTCTGGTCTCTCTCTCTCTAGTCTCTCTCTGGTCTCTCTCTCTGGCCTCTCTCTGGTCTCTCTCTGGTCTCTCTCTGGTCTCTCTCTCTGGTCTCTCTCTGGTCTCTCTCTCTAGTCTCTCTCTGGTCTCTCTCTCTCTAGTCTCTCTCTGGTCTCTCTCTCTGGTCTCTCTCTGGTCTCTCTCTCTGGTTTCTCTCTCTGGTCTCTCTCTCTCTCTCTCTCTCTTTGACGTGTCTAATTGAGTTAAAGCTTCTGGAGTGAAAGAGGGCGAGGCTAAAAATATCATTGTCTCTTTTACAAAATGAGTCACATTTACGAGAATGGAAGAGAGAGACCAGAGAGAGAGACCAAAGAGAGACCAGAGAGAGAGACCAGAGAGAGAGACCAAAGAGAGACCAGATAGAGACCAGAGAGAGAGACCAGAGAGAGACCAGAGAGAGAGAGACCAAAGAGAGACCAGAGAGAGAGACCAAAGAGAGACCAGAGAGAGAGAGACCAAAGAGAGACCAGATAGAGAACAGAGAGAGAGACCAAAGAGAGACCAGAGAGAGAGACCAGGGAGAGAGACCAAAGAGAGACCAGAGAGAGAGACCAAAGAGAGACCAGAGAGAGAGAGACCAAAGAGAGACCAGAGAGAGAGACCAAAGAGAG